CCCGAAGAAGAGCCACCGTGGCTAGACCCGTGGCCCTTGGGAGAACGCTTCTGGTTGTTGGCAGCCTCAGCTATAGTCGCAGCGTCGGCGCCCATGCCAGTGATGTCGGACAGAGCACCGGTCCAGGTCGAGACCCGTTCGCCGGTGGAAGAGCTAGAGTGATGATGGCCGCGAGGAGAACGCTTCTGGTTGTTGGCAGCCTCAGCTATAGTCGCAGCGTCGGCGCCCATACCAGTGATGTCCGACAAAGCACCGGTCCAAGTCGAGACTCTTTCACCAGTAGAACCACCAGAGTTAGAGCTAGAGTGGTGGTGGCCGCCGCGGGGGTCACGTGTCAACAAGCTGGAAGAGCGTCCACCAACTGGCGCACCAATGACGGAGTTGGCAGAGAGGATGGTGGCAAGAGCCACAGTGGCGAGCTTGGAAGTGTCAATATACATTTTGAATGAAGATTGGTGTAAAGTTGAAGATGCTGTAAAGCAAAAAGTTGTAGAAAGCTGAAAGGCTTTGGAATTGGAAGCTTTGTAGAGAAGATAGTTGGGATTGTTGTTGATGGATAATTCAATTCTGTGATGGATTTGAACACTCTTTTATAGAGCATTCTCTCTCATACATCGTTTTGAAGTTGTATACAAAGCTGGGACCCAGGCTGACCAGGCGCACACCTTCATTGCAATGCTGTATAGCAAAGGCTGATCTTTGGGGTCCAAGGATCGCGAAGTACCTGCGCGCAGGATGAACACCAGGATCAGCCAAGATTCCAAGTATGGGGCAAGCTTATTTTACTCTAATGAGGAATCAATCAGTATGGGCGTGTTATTGGGGAATGGCAAGAGTGGGAACCGACCTGGGGGCCATTTCAATCCTCTGGGATGCATTCGAAGTCGAGATAGCCACATTGCCAAGAGCTGCACTCATTGGAAATCCGGCGTGCGATCTGAATTCTCTCCTGAACCGTGCTTGGAGGGCCATTGGGGGTGGCAGGTGCTGAGGCTATGCCGCAGGAATGACAGTTGAAACAGACCACGCCCATTTTGGCCCGAATAAGGCAGGTTCCCTCATGTTTCAAGCCCGCTCAAGGTGCATTGCCAAGGCACGTAGAGAATTTTCATTTTCTGAGCAATCTGCATCATTTGGCCCCGTCGTGGGTTGTATTGTAGGTGTAGACTGAGGATGTCGTGAAATCACACGGTGATGGCGGAAACCGGGTCTACCGCTTTATTCTGCCGTATTTACTCTGCCCAATACAGCATAGAGTAAAATTGTTCCTCGTCCACCACGCATATTTCTTCCTAACACAGATTCTCATTTGTAAACCTCATGTCTGTACCGCATATGCTCGAATCCTATGCATTTCCACTCTCGATGGCCACCTAATTCAGGAACTGGATAGCATCGGATGATCGGATCCTTCGGGCTACCAAGCCACGCCGCAATTTACAGTTTTGTGAGTGGTGGTTAATTTTATGAACAGCTAAATGAAATTATGCAGCTAACACTAGATGCAGCGTCAATGCGCTCGACTCTGGTTCAAGGCACAATGGATACGGCAAGGCTATTTCCGATTTAGCGACGGTTTCAATTATATCGCTGACAAATTTGGGGCCACTAACTAAGCGGATTCGCTTTCTAGTTATACCGGTTCTATCCGATGGTTTTGATCCCAATTTAGAAACACGAGCATACTTGGTCAGCCTTACACTTATGTGTTGACTTTACGACGTGGTGGCAGGTAAAATCCGCCCTCGAGTCCACTGTGCACTTTCCGAGAATAGCTGTCCATCTCAGATGACGGGCAGATACCTGCTTGAACCACGGTCAGGTTGCAGGTACGCTGGGGGTCGTTGGCAAAGATGAACAAAATAGTACTCCGTAGTAAATGTACAAATTCCGGAGCTGCCATTCGTCCTAGTTGAACTGCACCTTCAGCTCCGTAGTGCGGTTCTGTACTATGTAGAGTTGGTAGACAGTCAGGTGTGTTGATAGTCTTATTCGTATATTATGAATTCTGTTTCGATGGCCTCTCATAAGACGTCTTCCATGAAAATAGTCGAGGTAGTGCTATGACACTGCCATCAAACATAATCAGTCCGGACAGTATCGATTACAGAGTACGTCCTCGATTTGCATGGCACATAATTTCAGTAGTATGTAAAGAATTAGAGTTCAGCATCTCGATATCCAAAATAGACAAGCAGCATGTCATTTTAAGGTGTGCATATGCTTGCTGTGTGCATGTTGACTATCGACGAGGATATATATATACCTGAAGCCACGTACCACTGCTACACCATAACTTGTCTGAATGCCACTACCACGCGTTATTTCACCCTATAATTTGATATAGCACTAGTACTATGGTTACACTCTTCTCCATTTCCATTTTCTTTCTTTAATTTGCACTGGGACACTCGATGGCGTCGACGGTGATGACGTAGATTGTTTACTTCCAAAAGGGGTAAGAGGATAACCGCAGAATAGTAACTCCGACATGCGCTCGCGTCGATACTCTAGCAGAGCTGTCGCAAACTCAGCAGACACCACTTGGTAACTCTAACCACTCAAATGAACGCTATTATGCTCTTGCTATGCTGCAAAATGCTTGTGAAACACGACTGCCCCTTGCATCCAATGAAAGGGAACTGAATTGTAACCGGTTCATGGCTGGAATGCTGACACGTCCAGTATGGCGATTCAATTCCCTTATAATCCCCAGTTGGACGCCTCGGTGCTTCAAAGGCATCTGAGTGTTTCTCGATAACTCATTCTTGCTCATCATGGCGCTGCTGAATCGCACCTTTGCTGCCCTAGTGGCAGCCTGTACATGTACGTCAGTACGTTCTTGGTTATAACTGATAGCACATAATCTAACGCTCCAAAGTACTGTCCGGCAGTTTTGCCCAGGATCCTCTGCCAACAACTTATAAGGAACCGAAAACCGGAATCAGTTTCGATACATGGAACGTGCCGGGCAGGTCTGGGACCGCCGGGCTGACCTTTGGCATGGCTCTCCCAAGTACGGCGCTGGAGGATGATGCCACAGAGTTTATTGGATATCTCGTAATGCCCCCTACACGTCGGTGCATATTGGCTGCGAGTTAACTGAAGTAGCATTGTGCTGCAAAAAATGCCACGACAGCCCGCGGCTGGTGCGGCATCTCGTTGGGCGGTTCTATGGTGGATAGTCCTTTACTTATTGCATACCCGGATCGCGGCCACGTTAAAACCTCCCTACGCTTTACCTCTGGATATAAAATGCCTGGAGTCTACACCGGCAACGCCACAGTCACACAGATCTCGTCTGCTGTCAATGCAACGGGTTTCTCATTGACCTTCCACTGCCAGGACTGTCTGCACTGGTCACAGAACGGCACGACGGGGAGCGCGTCTACAAGTGGTAGTATGTTGGATTTCGGTTATGCGCAGTCTATCAAACCGCCGGTCAACCCGTCTTGCCCGGATGGAATAAGGCTGGCGCGGCACGACTCGCAGGGTACCTGGACCGCGTTGCTGGAAAATGCCGCAAGCGAGTCCTACGATAAATGGCGCGCTCTGGCTAACCATACTGTTCCTAGCAACTGCACCAGCGCAAGGGGCCGCAACTCCAGTGTCACGTCTCCCAGTCGGCTATTCGGCAGTCGACTATTCGGGTAGGTTCTGTCACAAGAGAATTTTGGAGCACAGATGGCATATGTATCTTTATCTTTGCTCATGTAATCCAAGTACTTGCGATTTCGCCTCCTCTAGTCACGAAAGTCTTGGCTTATAGTTGTGGTATAGCTAAAAGGTATCATAGTATCCAATCCGGGCTACACAAGTTATGCTTTTATGAATCAAATAAATTGCTAGAATGTACGCGTCTATGAACAGTGGCCCAATAGCTATATTCACCCGACTTGTGACGAACAAACTCAGTAGTTGGCGTTGAAAAAGTAAACACCGGAGAACCTGGTCGACTTAGTTAACCAGCCAATAATGAAAGTGAGGATACATACCTAGTAGGCGATTTCCGGTGCCGTAGCAGCGGCGGCGCTTCATGAGCAGCCCGATGGAAATTGGAGAAGAACCATATGACGTTGCGAGATGCAATGGTGGTCCGCATGCTTGGTGAAGCCATTGGACGAAAGACTGGGCTGAGTGTGTCCCATCTTCTCGAGTTGCCTGATCGCAACCTATATAGTTTTCCTGCAGCGTTTCAAAGGGAGTCTGATATGGTTTGAGCATATTTGCACGAATATACAAGTAGATCCCGTACTACGGACTTGCTCTGAATACGCAAGGATTGTCCAATAGAAACCCGCTTCTAATGACGGTATATTATTTGTTATGCTTTTATTAGATGGTAATATGACAGACCAGAACATATGCGTGGGATTGAGCACATTTTATAACTCAACTGCGCCGAGTCACACCGTCCGTTAGCATTGACACGATCAGAGCCGGCCAGGTCAAGATGGGCATATATAACAAGCAGCGGACATGAAACGCAAGTATAAACCAACATTTTTCGTGACGAGATGGACCGTGACCATGGCACTATGAACATAACCATGGAAATGAAGCATCCCGACCACGGCCATAGCATGGCAATGCCCGCCATTTTCACTACCGGAACGCATATCACGCTGTTCTTCAACAGCTGGAGAACCTCGTCGCTGATCTCATACCTCCTTGCACTATTCCTTCTCTTTGTATTGGCTTTGTTCAATCGCTTCCTTGGGGTCCTGAAATTTCAACTCGATGCCAGAATCGAGACACCTCTTGTCCCCAATGTCCCCATAATAGCGCCCCCACCCGCATCGAGACGGTATCCTTTCATCCCCAAGGACCACGCGAGTCCTCTCCCGCACTATGTGAAGGGTCACAACGCCCACGACGGCAACCACTTCCAACCGGAATCCTTCTCGCACGCGCACTCCGAGCAATGGAACGAGTTTATCTCGGGTCGATCCACAAACCCACAAGCATTAACTGCACGATTTCTCCGTGCACTCTCTGGTACATGGACAACGAGAGAGCCTTGGAACTGGCGACGGAGGAGTCTCCGTTCATTGCTGGAGGGAGCGCGCGCATTGATCGGTTATATGCTGTAAGTTTTCACTTAGATCGAAGATAATGACCTAGCCAAGGGTCCTAACTTTTCGTAGCATGTTAGCTGTTATGACTTTCAACATTGGGGTGTTTTGTGCGGTAATCGGCGGGATTATTGTCGGCGAGTTGGTTCTGGGTCAGTATGCGCAGTCGGGTTGGCAGGATGGAGCATGCCATGATGGTTAGCGCGTTGGACAATGGGTTTCTGAAATGTGTCAACGAATGAACGGTGTATATTTCTGCTCGTGTGTTTCATATTTTATATCCTCCATCAAGTAAATTTGGCTATATTTTATTGTAAACAGAAAACCAGTACATACGACCATAGGGTGTGGAGAACAGGGCTTCCCGTCTGCTCAGCCGTACTTAAGCCACACGCCGGCCGGTTAGTAGTTGGGTGGGTGACCACCAGCGAATCCCGGCTGTTGTATGTTCTTTTTTTGCTCGCTTCGCGAGCATATATATGCATTTCTTTTGGACGAGCGTAGCGAAGGGTGAGGCTGTATTCTTTTTAACGAGTATATAGAGTGAGCGAGGCCCAGTGTACGATCTGGATAACTAGAGCTCGGTAATTAACATTCTTTCAAGCCCTTGGCAGGCCTGCCGACTATAGAAAAGGCTGCACTTCCAAGTGTATGCATGTCGATGATGTGGGGACACTCAAGGCCTTCTCAGGATAAACGAGCATGGTTAAGAGAGATACCTTTCCGTGCCGACTGAGACTTTTCCCCTCGATATCGATGTAGAGTGGAGGTCGCAGGTTAATAGTCGGCCCGATTATCGAGGCCGACAGATTCCACATATAAGCTACACCGTAGCCATACGTTTAGACCTTGCCCAAACCCTCATGAGGGTCTGGAATTTAAACCCTCCACCCGACCCGCCCATCGCGCGGGTCGGGTACTTATGACCCTCACAGACCCTCATTGACCCTTATTTTCATAAAATTTCATAAAATTCCCACGCTTTACCTGATTTGTACGCATAAAAACAACGATTAATCCTAATCTAGTATTGTTTGATCATCCGCGGGTCACCCTCGCGAGGGTCAGGCACTTGCACTATGAAAAGCTCTTGTCTACGTGTATTGTAGTTCCTATGGATATCAATATCAACCCCATCCTAAGCTACCTGCTTCGCAGAAGATTTAGGATATCCCGTGGCATAGTTATATATGCTGAGTTTCTCGCCTAGAAGCTAAGAGTATGGTATATGGACTCTTCTAAGCAACTCGCATGAATTTGAGGGACTGCAATAATGAGTCTGCAGCCAGACCACCTCAAGCCAACGCGTCGTGTGGCGCCCAGCTGGAGACAATCTCCCACACTAGGCTGGTCAAACTCGCTGTTGTTGACTGCAAAGGCCACAAAGGACGTTGAAATACAATGCGTGTCTTGCTTCAGAAATTGCTTCAAAACCCCTGACTGTCACGGGCTCGGAATAGTAGATAATAATGAATCAATGTTCCTATCTAGACTACTGCAACCATTGACGAGAATATCGAATCTGGAGAAGAAAAGAGAAGAGGAAATCTATCTAGGTAATGAAGGGGTTTTATAGAGGTTGTTGCCGACATGGTTGAGTAGCAGCATTTGCGATGTATCATTCATTGCTGCAGTGTTGAGCCGTCATATATGAGTCGTCACACTGACTAGACACATGAGAATCAATCGGATGATTGTTCGCTGATGTGACGGCTCACATGTACATCCCTTATATAACGGCTCGACATTGCAGCAACAGTTGATATCCAAACGCTGCTGCTCGAACCAACAGCCATGTCGTGAGCAGCTCCTATAAAACTCTTGTATTATCTAGATGGGTTTCCTCTCCCTTTTTCTCCTCTAGATTCGAAATTCTTGTCGATGGCTACAACAGTTTGGATAGAAATATTATTTCATTAGTATTTACTATTCCGAGACCGTGACAGATAGGAACCCTGGTATTCTAGATACTAAGAATCGGGGGCTGGAAGGGAAGAAGTGAGTGGTTCGCTTCAACGATTACAGATCAGAGTCAAGGAACGACTCACAAGAACATTTCAAGAAGTCTTGATAGTCAAGAATGTGTATAATACAGCCACTTCTGCAAGCCCACCAGCTGCAATAGATTGCGCCGGTGCTACTGTTAGTCTTCTGGCAAGGCTCTTTATTGCCCCAGTCAATGTTGCCATTTAATTTTGAGCCATCCATAGTTTATTTACGCCTACATGGCCGACTCGCTTACCGGTTACGTTACGTTTAACTAACCTTGAATGACTATTCCAATCTAGACGACTCGTTACTGTGCACTCTACTAGATCATCATTATTTACACAAGTTTTATTCATAATAGAATATTGACTTGGATCACACTATCTGTAGATCGTCCAAACTTATTGAAGTAGATCCTCAATGATTGACTTCTCGCATACATAGGATGAATAACCACGGCTGGGGTTAACTAGTTAGTTTCTGCTCGATATAATAGGTAAGGCCCATCTATAACCTTCATTTTGATTTCAGTCCCCTCCTCGATTGGAAACCCTGCAGCAGAGCATTAGCAACCCTTTTTGATTCATATAACTCTTATCCAAGATGCATCTTCCAAGCTTTGCATTTGCAGCAACTGTCTTTCTTGCTGCAACGCCTATTGTGAATGCTTTTTTTTTTTTTTGGCGATATTAAGATTCCCAAAGAGATGATACCACCGAAATGTGAAGGAACCATAGAAATCGCTCATAAGGAAGGAAAATTGTTTGACGATTACCTGAAAGCGACATGGTGTGATGCAGGACATGAGGTATCGATACGATATGGTGAAAGACTACGTTGACTCGGTCGTGATCCGCGTCCTCACATGGATGTGGCACAGAACTTCTCCCCCACTGTCTTTGAAGCATGAAGTCATGCCCTATTATGAGAATATCAAGAGGGAATGCATACTTGATTCACAATGGGGTATTACAAATATTAGACTTCTGCGCCATCCAGAGGGGTAATAAGACATTCACCAAGACGGCGAATGAGTGCATCATTCCCAAAGTTGTAGCCAAGTACCTGCTCAGAGTGGGTGAGTTTGGAGACTGGGCCAAGAAACACTGGAAAGGAGAACAAGCCGTCAAAGGAATCTTAGTCGACACCAGAAGTAAGAAAAGTCCCGATTTTATTGACCCTATTCTAAGAATGAATCTGGTAATCAATTGTGTCCTATACAAGCTAAGCTGACATAGACGGGCAGCTTATAGAGAAAAGAAAGGCGCCTTTAGTCCATACATGATGTCTAACGCCTGCGGCAAAAAGATGAGTACACACCCCCTTGAGTTTCGGTATTCAAAAATCTTTGGCGAATACTGGTAAGCTGACTTAGTGGAATTGAAAGTGGTATGGGAAGAAAGTGGAACCGAAAATGAAGGTTTATTCGAAGTGCCCATTTTAATGGCATGGTCACAGAAGCTATTCAGTAGCTAATATTCGTCCATCTGATTGTTTGATTTATTCGAGCTTTCTAAATTCTTTTCTGCACAACGCGGTTGATGGTTCGCCAGCATCTTTATCTCTTTTCCTTTTTTCATGCTCAGATTTCCAGTTTAATTCTACCGTACGTTCGCTTGAGAGCTCCAGAGTATTGTAGGGCAATCTACGTTGTAGTAACTACAGGAAAAGTTTATTAAAGTATGTCCCACATTGCATGAACATATCAAATCGGAAGTCCTCCCACTTTCTTGGTAATACGGAATATAACCTCGGAAGAGTGGACAGACGTATGCCATAGTTTAGTGTAGTCTTGGATAAGAATCAACCCGTTGGTAGGCCTCAAAATGGTGCGGTTCCGGTTCCAAGGTCTGGAACAGCAAACCACCAAGAGAACCGCTAGAAGATCCGCCAAGAGGCATAACTAAGGTGTAACCAGTCATATCTAGCGGATGAGTACTGCAGCAAAGTGAGGTTGTCTGGCGATTGAGACTGCTTGTTAGAAACATGAAAAGCGCCAGCAGGTATTCCCCATCCACAGGAAATGCGTCAAACGATTGAACTGCCGGGTGTGCTGCTGTAGTTGATTGATCAAGGAGACCTGATTCTTATCTGTATGCGGTTGGATACTTTGCCCATCTAGTGCCTCAGGGAGGAAGCAGGCTATGGACAGCCCCAGGGCAACAATAGCTAGCCCAAGGCTATATGGTGTTTAAGATGATCGTGTTATCATTGTAGCACTGACCGATGTTGCTAGAATCTCACCAACGTCCAAATACCCCGAACATAGACTCCAGCGAGCACGCTGGATGAGAGCACCGCCGCCAGCTTTCAGGACGATGGATTCTCACCTTCTCATGGCGTCCGGTGTTAATACTTGTCTTTTGACGAGGAAGTCAAGAAGAACCCCAGGGCCGCGATGGCTGTGTGGACATGTTGAATTGGTCTCCCCACGCGTCCACGCCCTCTGTTCATTCAATTGGCCAAGTGTATCAGCAGCCCGCATTTCCAGGTTGCCGAACGTGCTCTTGGTTTCTGAAACCATGAGATCTTCTGCCTATATATCACCAATAATGTGCAAACAATTTTTCCGATCGTGTTCGCATCGCTCCAAGGAAACTCCAGCGGACACTGGAACCGAACAGTTCACAGCATAGCTTATAATGTCTCGAGGATGTTCATGGAGATAGATTTCCAGCTCTTTCACAGATCTCTTCAGAGATATATGGAGTACAAGAGCAGCGTGAAACAGCCTGAGAATAGGAATTTCGCACACATGGGGAAAATGCAATCGGGGTCCCTATGGCACGAAGACACCATCTACTTCATTTTCTTGTTTGCGTTTGAAATTCCATAATGTTACGACTATTTCATGTGGTGCTCGGCTTCTTCTTTTTCCTACCCAACTTTGTGTGAAGCGAGCAATAATCTCTCCGTATTTACGGCTCTAGTCAGGCGACAATGGGATTTCTTTCTTTTATCCCGTTTTAAGATTTAGTCTTGAGCCTATGGCCGTGATGAGGTTGGCAAAATTTTGGAACCCCTTCTGAAATTGTATCTAATACTGTTGTTTCATTACCCTCAAGCGTCAATATACAGATGGCTCTGACCAGGAGAGTAGGTGATCCATGACCTTCCACCAACCAGTTCGAACATCAGCTTTTTCACACATCGCTTCCAGTCGTATTTTATTGCCAACCATCCTCAAGCTTCTGGCGGTAATCTGTAATCATTTCAGGAGTAACATCATTTCCTCCGCAAACAATGATCACAATTCGACTATCCGGTGTTAGGTCTGGCATGACTTCCCTTAGCCTATCTAACCCAACTTGGACACTTATTCCGCAAGCCAGCTCGACCTCCAACCGCAGCTCATCACACAAACGCACAACTCCCATCGCAGCATCAGCGTCGGTACCCACAGTACTAGTGACTTCGATACCGGGCGGAGGGGATTGCACGTTTTTCAGCGTCTGCTGTGCCACGCAGAGCGCGCCTAGGGTGATTGCCTGCGATGTAACTGCAGGTATAGATTGCAAATAGCCCTTGCGTAGCGAATGCGCCAGCGAATCTGCCCCAGCTGTTTCAACAGCGAGAATTCGAACTTTCTTCACCGTTTTCTTGGGAAGCGTTGTTGGTTGATGGGCTGGCAAATTCCTCTCAAGGCCGTCGATAATCCCGTTCAAAAGACCACCACCACCAACGCTGCAAACAATTGCATCTGCCGGGAACGAACAATAGGTATCGGTTTTGCCGTAGTGCCTTGGAGGTAAATGCTTAATTATTTCATCAACCAGAGTCCCTGCACCTTGCCAGATGTCATGGTGATCGAATGGTGGGACATAAATGTTCCTGACCAAGGGATCTGACTTGCTGTCTTCATTTTCGATGAAATTCTCCCGTAGATACGCATCAGCTTCGAACCAACTGGCGCCATGGCGGATAACATCCGAAGCCCCTGCAGCGCGTATTTTTTTGATCATCATAGGCTTCGCGCTAAGGGGCACAACAACAGTGCAGGAACAACCAAGATCCCGAGCGGCTATGACTGCTGCGAGCCCTGCATTGCCTGCCGAGGAGCTGAAAAAATGAAGGGTTCTGCCATTGTTTGATGGATCAAAAAAAGATGTGAGGATCAAGTTTCCAATACCCCTGAACCAGTTTCGATTCTGTATCAGACCTCTTTCGACAAGCTGCAACATGGGTTCTTGGAATGCCGAACTCACCGTGATTTGAACGAGCCAGAAGGTTGGAACGACTCTAACTTAAGGAAAATTCTACTATATTTACTCTTAAGTGTCCGGAACTTTATTTAGTGAAAACAAAAGCCCAATCTTACCATCCGGCAGCCTTTGAAAGTGTCGTAGACTCGATCAAAGGCGTTTCAATCCAGGGTTTCTTCAATTCATGTTCTGAATCGGAATGGCCCATTTTCAAGCGATTCGAGGAAAACGTAAAACTTCCTAATAAAATCTTCTTGGCCGTCCAGAAAATCCGCGACGTATCTAAACTTGGCCACTAGGATAATCAGCAATTTATATTGGGGGGCACAAGATAGAAAACTTTGTTAGGAGCTATAGGGCCCGATCTTGCCGACGCCCTTCATTTGACATTTGGCTCATTGCAGGCGTGGAGTGGGTGTGGAGTGGGTCTGCAATCTGCCATATATGCGAGGTCGTAGGTCGGAGGGCCCCGCTTTAGCGCTCGGAGGGCCCCGGAGCCCCCTTACCGAGTCCCGCTAAATCACATGACCCACTAACATTAG